CCTCTATCAATAATTTCTGTTGATAAACCAGGGGCGAAAAATATTTAAAAACAACAGTTTGCGATAAACAGTTTAGCACGCTGGACAAATAAATATTTTATTCCAAGATTATATTATTTATTACTGAGAAAAGTCGTACTGTCACCTGTATGATCCTCATCGCTGTTGACAACGACAGGTACGGTCTTTCACTCCTTGCTACGATGAATTTCGTGGACTTGTTCCGATGTTACTGTGAGATAAGTGATATAAGTGAAAGTAACATCTTCTGATAACTTTATCTAATGTCTTTGCTATTTATTTTTGCAAAAATTTAGCGGCAGAAATGCTTGTTTCTTAATTTTTGAAAAATATGTATTCATTATGCAACATAGAGGAATATATATATGTGTGTGTGTGTGTGTATTGCTTTATAAATTAAATTCGTCTCTCAATCTTACATTAATTGACTTATAAGGATAAGGATAAGGAACGGGGGACGTGGGCACTATGCCTCTACCATACGGTTAATTAGTATAGCACCACGTCCACCATGATCTAGAGAACCCTTAAGACAACACTAATTCAAATACGTGAGTACATTATTGAAAATGAATGATTGATTACAAACAATTGTGGTATACCTTGGCAGTAAAATTGTTGCATTTGTATAAATAACAAGTTGCATTTGTGTAAATAACAAGTTACGATAAAGACAAAGATGTAGTGATAGTCTGTGACTTATACATGAACGAATAATAATGAACGTTAATAACGATTTGTAGAGCCATTAGGTTATTTTGAAGCAGGAGACATGAAAAATGAGCAGTGCCCTCATCGGGACTCGAACCCTGGACCTCTCGAATACGCAGCGAGTGTGCTACCGTTACACCACAAAGGCATGATGAAAGAAGGATGGAAATACCTTATATATCCCCCTTTTGAAGGACGACTGGTGATGAGGGGACTTAATCGCCAAATCCTGGTGGTGACGAATTATCGTCCATCACCTTTTTGTTCGGGCGCCACTGTACAGTCATTAAACTCTTTTCCGAGACAGGAGACGTGAAAAATATGCGATGCCCTAGTAGCGACTTGAACCCTGGACCTCTCGAATATACGCCGTATGTGCTACCGTTACACAACGAAGGCATGCTGAAAGGAGGGAGAAAATACCTTATAGACTCAAAATGCTTTTAACTCGCCTCTGCTGTCGTGAATTCCATCATTAACTGTACATAAGTTTTAAAAATATAATATTAACTTATAAATAATGTTAACGGTGTTTAAATGTTAATTATCCATACAATTGCTAATAGCATAACTGTGGGATGTGTTTCATATTAATCATTTCAAAAATTTAATAAGAAATAACATTTAAGTTTAAAAACGATTATTTTTTTAAGAAAATTAATTACGAATTCTTATTAACATTGCTCGTAAACGGAAATAATATAAATTATTTTATTTATAGTTAATAATATCGTCAGCTATTTTATGTCACGCAAGAAAATTATTTTATTTATTAGCAATGAAAGATAGTTAAAATTTAATTTCTCTGTTTTATGTTAATAAATATTAAACCCTTGATCAGTTAGACTTTCAGTAATTACAACCTTGAATAAAAACTCAATCACTAAATTTTAGCTAAAAAATATTCTTTGATTTAAACATAAAAAGGAAATATCATTAGAAAAAAAAAACTATAATCCTCACTAAAGAATTTAAAAGTTCCGTATCTGTTAATGTCAAGTTCAATTAACTCTGGGAAAACCATTTCGCACGTAAAGAGAAAAAAGTATTTGAAATTCATTTGGCTTAACAAGCTTCGTACAACTAATAAAAAATGAAATGCTTGTTTTGCGTGCTTTAATATAATGGTTGGGTAGCATGCATTAGAAAATTCTAAAAACTGCCTTTTTCATCTCTATTTCTCAGCTTAATGTTCAAAATCTAAAAATAAGCAGAAGCATAGAACAACTTTTTTAAATAAGATTTTAAAAGTTTTGCTCATTGCATAGTTTTTTTCGTACAAACATGTAATTTCGTACAAACACTAATTTGCTCTAACTTTTAAAATATTTTAAACATTTATACCTGAAAAGAATAAACTTGGGATTTTAATGAGTGTCTTATAGTTAAAACAATGATTTATTGCAAAGAAAGTATCCAGTAATCACAAGAATATATGACAACAAAAAAATACACAACAGCAAAAGCATAATTTTTTAAAATCCTACGCTTTGGTAAAAGTTTGACGATGCCTTTCAGAAAAAAGCTTATTTCGAATTTTATAGTTTTTAATGGTTTACTTATTTTAGTTGCAATTAATGTTTTAGTGATGCTTTTCTGTTCATTTTCTCTATCTCTAATAAATGCTTAACACTAGTTTTACATACAACTTTTATACACCCGTTAAATTGACGGCATAGCAAATCACGTATTTTCTTTAAAAAAAGTAACTGAAACTTTTTTTAAAACGTCTCGACACATTGACTAGAAGTCAATGACTACAGATCATTCTTAGTCTTATCATAGTGTGTTGATATTGGGTTCGAAATTATAGGAAAATATTTTCCGTTGAATTATGATACCTTTCTAACTACTACTACATTTGTCACTAGAAAAAATAATTTCATAAAAAAAATCAGCTTATCACGATTAACTATGAAGCTACCTTATCTTCATTGATAAATATCATTATAAATTAGAAAACTATAAAAGAATGGCTTTTATAATTTTACTCATGAAATCCAAAACCCGTCAAAATGACGTGTCCCATTAATCTAGTGCTAATAATTGCCACTGAAGTTTTTAAAAGGCAGTGAAAAAAAGCATAGACATAAAAACTAGTTTTAGAATTAATTTTTGTACGCTAATCAGGAATATGACAATTTTAAATTCTTCTGGGTTCAAGGTTAAGAAATCTATGGAAGTGTACATAATCAAAGATTATGGTTTGGCTACGGAATGCTAATGTTTGTTCCTTCTTGTCGATATCAGTTTTATAGTGATTTCTTTCTAAAAAGGAACAGCATATTCTTATTTCTTCAAAGTCATCATCTAATTTTATGAGAAATAAATTTTACATTATATAGAAATATTAATTAATGTTGTTGAAGTACTCGTGGAATCAACATATCGACTTTCATCGACTTGGAAACTAGATTTAGCATCTGATTGAAGTTTCTAAGATTGAAATAATTTTATTTTATTTTATTCATGCCCAAACTGAATTTTTGGGTCTGTATTCTTAATTGATTCCGTAACTAATACTATTTTATTGCAGCTAATATTTCGGTGTCATTTTCATTCTGAGCACGATGAGCTATATAGTAATGTGCTGGTCAATGAACAGAAGTATGGTAAAAATGAATTAGCATTTCGTCCAGTGATGCGAATTTATATTTAATTGGTTGTAAATTTTAATAGTTGTTACGGCGCAAATTTCTATGAAATTTTCAGTAGTTTTTCTCGTATTTTTTATTTTCTATAAGACAATATTCGATGAAAAAAGAATATGGAGCAATTCGGCGTTGAAAATTTAGGAATTAGAAAAGAAACAGAATCAACAAGAAACATGCCAAGACATCTAAAGTCTATCAAACCAGAAGACGCTAAAGCGATCAAAAATAGCATTCTTTCCACGGCAGGAGAAATCAAAACTGTCAAGAAACCGTTACCGTATTACAGCAAAGCGTTTCTTTCATTTCAAAAAATTCACATTTTTGCATAATAATATATACATGAAATTCGTAAAAATAAATACGTGAGATATAAATACAAGTATTCTTAGCAAAAACCAGTGGAAAGAAGCATTGAATCCTCAATAACCGTATTAATTCGCATTGACAAAGAAAAAAATGCTTATACACACATATATATAAACAAGGTGGTCATAAAAATACTTTCCCGATGTATGAAACCTTGGCCTATGCGTTCAACCAATCGATATAAAATTTGAGATATTATTATTTGAAAGTATGCGCTTGAGATTGTGATGATTTAAAACAACAGAGCTCACGGTTATAGTGAAAACATTTCGAAAATTTTTGAATGGCAGCACCTGCTTTCTTCCTGCATAAATTGATCGGCGCCCTGAAGAACCATAAATGGTGTTAGCATGATAGACGCGTGACGAAAATTGCGGCGTAAAACATTTGCATAGATCAAGAATAATGACAGCATAAGTAAAGGAATAATGACAACACAAAAGAGAGGAAAAGAACTTTTATTGAAATTAACAAGTTTTCAGCATGCCCATCTTCATCGAAGATAACGCATGCATACTGGAGATTGCTGACAACAATGACGAACACAAAATTGCAGGAGGGATCTGTATAGCTTAGCGGTTTATGGCATCTTTTCCAATTCTGCAAGTCTCATGGATCTGATGTGTACATCTTAGATTTTAGGTAACACCAGAACCCGAAATCTATAGGAGTGGTGTCGAGGGATCTCGGTGTACACGAAACTTCAAAGTTATGGGAGATGACTCATATCTTGAAACGTTGTACTGGTTGAAAACTTGCTGTTCGAATAAACGTTCACTAGTCTTTTGCAATGTTTTTCTTTGCAGATATTTTACGCTGGTTAGTTTTCGTCATACGTGCAACGTTCCAACGCCATTTATGGTTTTCAATGCGTTAATCAACTTGCGAAGAAAAAACATGGGTGTTGCCGTTAAAAAATTTCGAAAATTTTCACTGTAAACAGTTAGATCTCTGTTCTAAATCATCGCAATCATGAACATCTGAAATTTTATTTCGATTGGTTGAGCTGATAAGCATCTAGGAGTTCATACATCGGGAAAGATTTTTATGACTTCGCTGTTACTTTTTAAAAATATTTACATATATCTTCATGAACTGTTGAAAAATATATAAAAAAATATTTACAAATATGTAAACAAACAACTATGTTGCTAATAATAACTTATAGCTAAAATAGAAATTAATGATACTTGTATATCAACAAATGCCTGCGTATGTATTTCTAATTCTGCTATATTTTTGTTTCAGGCATTAGTTATCTAGGAACTCAAGAAAGCTTTTAAAATTCTAAGTAACACAAAAGTATTGTTGCTTCGCCAAATGTGATAATTTTCCCCATGTGCAACATGATTACGAGCAAATTTGTTTTAGAAAATCCTGCATACCTTTCTCTTAAGCTTTGTCATAATTTAATAAAACCAGTGAATCAAATAACGTTGTATTGGCATTTTGTATTTTTTAATTTGCTTGTTTCAGTTATTGATCAATTTATTATTATTATTGGTAAGTGTTTTTGCTGCTCAGCAGGTACATTGGATAGTGATCCTGACTGCCGTAACGATGGGTCCCGGTTCGAATCCCGGAGAAAGCATGGTTGTAACTGTCCGTCCCTTCATAAAAGACAATGTTGGCCACCTATTAGGTGCTTCCATACTGAAATGGTCACCTTTTCTGGCCCTTGTAGAGGCCAAGGCTAATGGCTAATAAATAAAACGCCCGACGTTTAAAAAGGAAAGGAGTATGAGTATTTTTAGATGAGTAGATCTATATACCTCTTCTCCCCGAAAACATTACCAGCTTTAAAAGTTAATTGTAATTAAAAACCATATAATTTGAAATAACTTTGTAGAGTCATTAGGTTAATCGGAAGCAGAAAAGATGAAAAATATGCAACCGCCTTCGCCGGAAATCGAACCACGGACCTCTGGAATACCGGCCCAGCGTGCTACCGTTACACCACGAAGGCACGCTATAGCTACCAAATTTATTTAAGTAAAAGAGAAATTAACAGAGAATTATCTGCTAAACCATTGAAAATAAGGAAATAAATATTTATAAATTCATCCAAGATTTTTTATGCTTGTGACCAGTTCAGGGTTTCGACATTATCAACATAATTATGTATATCAAATTGCTGCAGTGGTCTTACATTTTTGCATTATCTGTGAAATAGAGAGTTTCTTATATTTTTGGAAAAGTTTTGTTAAATTTTACTTGTAAATGATATGTAAATAAATTGGAACTGTTCTCTTATCGGTTCCGGATTCAGATACTGACAAAATCTGATGATCTGTTGAAAAATTTGAAAATAATCACTAAAATATTTAAGACACAGCTAATTTGAAGAAAAATTTAAGGGAAAAAATAACATAACGGAAATTCGTAAAATTAGAAAATTTAATGTAAATTAAATAATTTCCCAAAGAGCTGCGCAGACAGTATAGTGGTTAGGGGAGCCTAGTCTGGTACCGAAGGGCCCGGGCTCGAATCGCTCAGAGAGCATGGATATTTGTAAAAGTATAGTTTCTTTCTGACATGGGGCTAAATACATGTCGAGCCGAAAGCTCTCTCAAGAGGTTGTTGGTAAGGAAAGAGGGGGTTGCAAGACCTTCAGAACTGTCCTCCCGGGGTACTCTCCATCAAAACTGGGGACGGAACTGTGAGGAGTTGTACTGTCATCTGTATGGTGCTCAGTGCTCTTGCCAATGACATGCATAATCTTGCTCTCCTTGCCAGGATGAATTTCATAGGCCTGTTCTGATGTTACTGTCGGAGAAGTGAGATAAGTCACAACACAACACTTCTCAAAGAAATCAGAAAAAAAAGAATTCAATTAGCAAACTGAGATCAACGCGGAGTCATGAAACTGCAGATATCATTTAAAATATCTCAAAACATTTGCGTTTTAGGACGCTTTTGCCGCCACATAAACTTAATTAAATATAATCTCATTCGTTATGATCAGTGACATGTTGAGTTTTATTTCGTCATTTCACACTTCCGCTCCATAATCTTTAATAATAAGAAAAGTTCAAATCCTATCTTTGTTAATTCTTTAGTGTTGTATCCTTTCCAACAGTTTATTATAATGCTAATTTTATTCAATAGTCTATTATAATATTATAATGCCATCAATAATGTTTTCTTCAATAGCTTCAATAATAAGTTCTGGTAGAACGGTTAGGCATAGCAAATAAAACACTTTCTTTTGTTTTCTCCGCAAATCCCGCCCTACACCCCATGGAGGTAGGAAAGGGAGGAGGGGCCATTCCGCGCTAGAAGTGAAGCACTGCTTTGAAGCTTGGGACACCAGACGGGGTGTTCTTTGTTTACATTCAGAAGCTCGCTTGACAAGATTCTGATAGTATTTCGACACACGACAGTTCCATAGAAATCGAAAAAGGGACACTCTCGCATGAAAGAAACATTCATAGTGTGATGGATAATAGCAATTTGTATAGTTTACTGACATTTACGCAAAAATCATATCTTGGTTATTTTTCGATAACTAACAACAGCGATTTTGATTATGAATTTGTTTTATAAAATTCTAAGCTGTTGCACTACAAAAAAATAGAGATTTTAAGAAAATTGCTAAAAGAGATCTGCCAAAATTTATTTTCTAGAAGATTTGAAAAGGTTGTGAAACTTGATGGCTAAATGTAAATATAAAATTATGTATGTTAAAATATTTGTAATTAGGCACATAGGTCAGATTAAATTTTTATTAAATAGAGTAACGCATGCAAGGGCTATCTGCCTAAAGAGAGAGATGCGATCGTGGAGGAATTTTGAAGAAAAACTGACCTTTGAGTGGGTATTAAAAATAATACTTATAATTTTCATTCAAATTATATTCATATATAATTTTTTATGTAAAACTTTTGGGTGTATGTATGCTAAATTAGTGTAAATTACTTTACACGAAAAATATAGTGAATGCACAGAAATTAAAGATTTGCACATGCCGGAAATGATAAATAGGAAATATGTATGGGTATTTATGCATGTGCTTGCAAAAAGCATGTATCTGCCTTTGACAAAAATACTTAAATATTCATTAAATTATTTATAAATGTATTTGAAATGAAGAAGAATTTATTCACTTATAAACAACTGTGAAAGTACTGTGAAGAAATCTAATGATTAAATGTATCTAATTTATAATGATTATAAATGTTATCTAAATATATAATAACCTTAATATTGAATTGTAAACATAAATTGAAATCCTGTTGACAAATACGTTATAAAACTATTTAAGCAAGAATTGTTCGTATTGGAAAGCAATCTGTTAAAAGGTATTGTAAAGCAAATGCTATGAGATGCGCACTTAAGAACGTAATAAAGAGTTTTGGAATATGTATTGTTGAAAGAAGGGTTTAAGGGTAAAAAAAAAAAAAAAAAATCTGAAAGTATAATTAAAATACTATTAATACCTTTAATTATTAGGAATAGCGAAATACTTATTTAAAGTATTTCGCTAATTCTCTAATAATTTTCTAATTTAAAATGAACCGAATAGAGCATTAATTATAAATTGACTTACATTTTTCGATTTTTTAAAAGAAGCCAAAAAAATCATGTCATATTTAAGAAAGTATTTTAGGAAGAAGCTCTATAAATAGAAAAGAAATAATGCATAATTTTAATATTAATAATACAATAAACTTTGATCTTAATTTTTGTACCTTAACCGAATAAAATCGAATTACCTTAATTTTTTTTCTAATGTAATTAACGAAAACTTGTGAAAATATTTCATTCAAATTAAACCATTCTGAGAAAACTGTCCTGTGAAAAGTATAGCATTTAATTCCGTTCAGAATGAAAATGTTGTTTAAAAAAATATGTTGTTTTCACATACTTAGGACTCTGAAGTGTTGTAAAAAAAGAAATTATATACATTTATATGTATATTTGCGACGTAATTACAAAATATTTACACCCGAATGAGTCAAATCCCATAGAACTCAATGGTAAATGACCCAATGTTTTGGTCACCACGTAGGGATCGCCGGTGCTTCAGAGCAGGGTACGGAGAAACTTGTTTAGGGAGACTCCATCTTACTTCCTACCTCCATGCTACACCCTCTAGGGAGAAAGGATACGATTAACATATTTTTTTTTTTTTTTTTTTTAGTCCAAAGGGATTTGAATCCCGAAGGACAATTAGTTTCGTTTTGGCATTGCGTCGGACTCATAAATGTCGGTTCACTTTTCAAGCTGTGCCACAAAGTTAAGTCTTGCATTATATTTGAAGAAATTAAATATGAAAAATCTGCATAAATGTATGTATATTTCTCGTTTGTGATAAAAAAACGGTACATAGATCATCGAATTTTGAATAACGTAATCCTCCAACGGATATGGCATGTGAAAGACCAATTGAAATTTGAAAGTGTTTTATGATCGATTCCTATTTTTTAAAACTTTGAGAATTTTTGATTAACAAACTCAAGGATTTCAAAGCGAGCAATGGCAACGTTGTGCAGAAAAAACATTTTACTCCAGCGCGTGAGTCTCTGTATCGGAAATTCTAAAAATATGCTCGTTTTAAAACTATTTTGCGATATTGCTGTGTGCACTGGATCTTATGGTTAAGTGCGAGGAACATGATATTTAATAAAGAAAGGTAACACACAAAATGTTAAAAAACGCCCCTTTGGACGTAATTTAAAATCTGAAACATTTCATTTTTTTATTATTAATTTTTTTTTTTTTTTTTTTTTTTTTTGACGGGAAAACAGACTTTCGTCAACTTCGACAATATTACCAGTTCCGCATATTTTAACGGTCACAGACTTCCCTTATGTAACTGTTCCAAGTAACAACAGTGCAATTATTCATATCAAGCTGATACTGACCAAATTCAAGAGAAGTTAATTCTAAACACTTGCCGTTAAGAAACTGATTTCGATCCTTCAATTCAGTTTTGAGAATATAATCCTTTTTTTATCTCGGTACATCCATATCTTTACATCTCCATTTTGGTGTTTCCATCGAATTAAAGTAGAGCTGCATTTTATGGTTTTTCCGCGCACTTTTCTTCAGAGTGAAGAATTTCTCGTTCCTGTAGAAACTATATGGAGGATGTTTCATCAAGAAGTAAGTTCCAAATTTTCATATCCATGCTAATTACAATAATAATGAAAATACAAATTACGTTACGTTCTTTAGAATTTGTATTCTCGTTGCCAATTTTGAAAAGACATTATTTTACATTTTAAAATGTAAACATTATAACGAATTTAAAAGTAAACACTGGAGACTTCATATCAACCAATCTCCTGGCAAAATTAGCAAAACATTTGGCGACGATTCCGGTTCCAATAACAGAACAATACCAATAAATTAGTAAAAACCATTTTTTTAATTTCTTTTTATGAAATTTAATACAGCGGAAAAAATGAAGAAAACAAGTGGTTATATCGTAATT